CAAAGTTGAAACAGGACTAAAAAGAGTAGCGGTTTTTAAAATAGTCTTATGTTTGCACATGTGGATTCTTGCAACATGTAACACTCTTTTCCGCCCCCCCCATCCCCCCGTAATTTTGTAGCCAGTACTCATGGTAGTCCAGCTAAATTAAAATACCACTCCTTCACACTTTAGCTCATCAAGCTTTGCAACTGCTACTAATTATAAAAGTCTCAGAAAGTCGGATGGTGCCATCTCCTTAAAGGTGAATGATTCAGTTAGAAGTATCCAATCGAGGCCGGGTGCGGTGGCTCACGCCTGTAATCCTGGCACTCTGGGAGGCCAAGGAGGGCGGATTGGTCGAGGTCAGGAGTTCGAAACCAGCCTGAGCAAGGGCAAGACCCTGTCTCTACTATAAATAGAAAGAAATTAACTGGCCAACTAATATATATAGAAAAAATTATCCGGGCATGGTGGCGCATGCCTGTAGTCCCAGCTACTCGGGAGGCTGAGGCAGGAGGATCGCTTGAGCCCAGGTGTCTGAGGTTGCTGTGAGCTAGGCTGACGCCACGGTACACACTCTAGCCTGGGCAACAAAGCAAGACTCTGTCTCAAAAAATAAATAAATAAATAGTATCCAATCGAGAAGAGGGAATAAAAGCATAGGACATAAAAATCTTCCTTGGGAAAGGATCTCAACTTTATAGAGACCCTTCTCAAAGACTCTGAGCAAATATCTAAGAACATAATCATATTCCAGGTTCATGAAGACGGTGGGTGACTTTTCAGGGTCCTGTAGCAGGACATGGAAGAGCGAGGACCCCCCTCCCATCTCTACTAAAGTAGAAACAAATTAATTGGCCAACTAAAAATATATAGAAAAAATTAGCCGGGCATGGTGGTGCATGCTTGTAGTCCCAGCTACTCGGGAGGCTGAGGCAGGAGGATCCCTGGAGCCCAGGAGTTGGAGGTTGCTGTGAGCTAGGTTGACATCACGGCACTCTAGCCTGGGGCAACAGAGTGAGACTCTGTCTCAACAAAACAAACAAACCAACAAAAATGAGGACGTCATTCCTATTATAGAATTCTTCAAGTTATGATACACAACTGCTGAACAAATACTGCTTTCGAGCTCCAAACTGAAAACATGGCAAGACCGCTACCTAAGCCCATAAAGAAATCCCTCTTTTCCAGGATTCCGTCTGTTCCCGAAAAGCCAGCTTACATATATTCCGATACTCTTTAATTATCACGGCTATTTGAGGACAAGATTTGAAATATACATCCATGACAAGAAAAAACAAACAATAATAATACAAGATTTAAGAGAGCAAAAGCCAAAGACAGCAGGAAACCGGACTGCCACTGCTTGCTTTTTTTTTTTTTTAAATCAGCGAAATATTTAAAACGAATGACAAACCCATGCCAACCTCACAAAGTTTCCCCATTTCTTGGAATCCAAATTGGCCAATGCTGGGCATCACTTATGCCAATCCTTTAAGGTATTCTCCTTAAGTCACCAGGCACGATGTAAAAAGCCAGGGGGGCTGGGGGGCTTATACACAAAGTGACCCCGGGGCAGCCCAGTCTCCTTGGAGCTTCCAACACTGACCTTCTTCTTCTTCTCTCCGTTGGGGCCTCCCGGAACCCCTCAACCCAACCAAAAGCCTCAGCGGCAGCCCTGGCTGTAACACTGCGCACAGCTTGACTCCCAAACTCCAAATCTGATTTCTCCTTTTCTTTAATTTTTTGGTTTTAATTCCAGTCCCACGCTCGCTCGCTCGCCCCCTCGGCTCTCCCACCCTTCTTAGTGCCAGACCTCCCGGCCCGACGTCGGGAACACCTTCCCCGGCGGCGCCTGCGGGCCTGGGCGTCCCTCGCTCCGTCCGGCTCTGCTCTCCCTGACCGCACAAATGTCCTTTCCAGCGGCCACCTCCATCCCGCCCGGCGGGCGGCGGCGGGGATTTCGGAGACCCGGGGATCAGTTTCCCCGATTCGGTCCCCCCTCTTCGCACAGCCATTTTCTGGCTAAACGCTCTCCCTGCCTCCCGGGGAGGGAAATGAACTTTTCTCCCCTTTCCATCGCTCAGAGGCTTGGTCGCCGAGGAGCCGCCCCGGCCGCAACTCCCCGGCAGGAGCGCGCAGGCCGGTGTCAGGCCAGTGCCAGGCAAGGGGGCGTGCGCTCTTCCCCGCCGGCGGGCGCCCACCCTCGCCGTCCCTCCGCAGTCCCCACCCGGGCGCGCCGCCTCCAGCCCGGTCTCCCCGCCCCAGGCCCTGCCGAGCCCGGGCTGCCGAGGGGAGAGGGCGCAGGGAAGCAGGAGGGATGGGAGGCGAGGAGGGCGCCCGCAGTCGCCGCGCCACCGGCCCTGCGGCGCGGGCGCGGGGCGCACGGGACCCCGCGGCGGGCGTCGCTGCAGATGCAGCCGCAGCTGCTGCATCTGTGGCCGCGGCCGAGCGGGCGGCCGTGGCACGGGAAGCCCCGGAGCCGGGGGCAGAGAGAGAGAGAGAGAGCAGCAGCCGCCGGGGCCACCCGCGGCCACCAGCGCGCACGCCGCTGCCGCTGCCCGGGTCTCGCCCCGGCACCCCCGGCTGCCGCGATCCCCGGGGCAAAGGCGAGGAAGGGAGCGGGGCTCACCAGCGGGGCGCGCGGCGATCGCCTCGGCTCCGGCGCGTGGCGGCTCTGCCCGAGTCTCGCCCTCCCGGGAGCGCCCGGATCGGCCGCGGGTGCAGCGCGCGATCTTCCTACTGGAGACCGGACCGGGCTCGGCGACTGAGCATGCCCAGCGCCGCCCCGCCGGTCCCGCGCAGGGAGCGGCGCCGGCGAGATTCCACTTCTCCAGGATTTGGCGGCGGCTGCGTAAAGGGAGGCTGCGGGGCCCGGCGGGGCGGAGGCCCAGCCGGAGAAAGGCGGTGCCGGGGGCGGGGGCGGGGGCCGGGCGGAGGGGGCGGGCCGCGCTCCCAGCTCTACCCCTGCAGGTGGAGGCTGCCGGGCTTGGGGACAGCGCGTCCCCCGCGTCGCCGGCGGAGCCCGTGGGGAGGCCACGGGTGCAGACGGAGCCCCAACGGCTGGAGGTGCGAGCGCCCTGGCGCCTGGGGGTGCCCTCCGCGTGCCCTGGCATCTGTCCGCACCAAAGCGCAGTTGGTGACCTTATTCCCAGCTTTCCTCCTGCATGTCCGCATTCTCTTGCCAGCGGGAAAACGTCCCCAAACGAGAGAGAGGTGCCCACACCCACTCAGGCCAACAGGCTAACTGCAAGGTGTGGGCGAGACCTCCTCCTTCCTTCTGCCTCCTCTCCCCACCCCCCGGGGATACGCGGGGGCGCGCGCACACACGCACAAGCACACGCACACACACGCACACACTGTTCTTTGATCCGGAAAGCACAACAGAACGACACCAGGGGAGAAGAAACAGGCCCGCAGGAGAAGAAAAGCACGGTTTCCTTTTTCACCCACCAGGATGCCATCACCCATAACTCGAATTCACAATTTCGAGTTTGCAATTCGATTCTCAAATTTGCAATTTACAATTTAAACTCTACGCATTTGCGGTTTGTCAACTGCGCAAAGGAGCGAGGCCCTGATCAGAGTGGGAACGGCTCAGGAAGTGGTGAGCAGTGCTCTGCGCCCCAGACACCCCCAAAAGCATCCTTAGGGTTTGCTCTTCGCCAGGGCCGTGGCTGTCACGCTGCAGCCTGAACCAGGGTCGCCTGCAAGAGGGCCTGCTGGGGCTGCTGCGTCTCAGCGCCTGGGTCTCCTCCGAGGGGCGAGGGGCGAGGGGCGCCGGGAGCATGCGTGTGTGTCTGTGTGTGTGTGACAAGCCCCTGGGACACGTGACGCTGACGCTGCGGGTCTGCCCACCACACTTTTGAGAGCCTGCACACGCACACACACTCACAGGCAGCCACACGTGCGACCCCAAAGAGCGAACTCACTCCCACCCTTCCTTATTCTCCATGCGAGGACTCTACCCATCGGGGTGGGAATGCCCTTAATCTTTATTAATGTCTTGAATGTATTGAGGGTCACAGGTCTCGAGTTAGGCCTGGGAATGGAGGTGAATTAAGAAGCCCAACCCCTAGGCCAGGCACGGTGGCTCACGCCTGTAGGTCAGGAGATTGAAACCAGCCTGAGCAAGAGTGAGACCCCGTCTCTACTAAAAATAGAAAGAAATTAATTGTACAACTAATATATATAGGAAAAAAAATCAGCCGGGCATGGTGGCACATGCCTGTAGTCCCAGCTACTAGGGAGGCTGAGGCAGGAGGATGGCTTGAGCCCAGGAGTTTGAGGTTGCTGTGAGCGAGGCTGACGCCACGGCACTCACTCTAGCCAGGCAACAAAGCGAGACTCTGTCTCAAAAAAAAAAAAAGCCCACCCCCTGCCTTCAGGGGGTCCCCAGCACCCCAGAGCGACAGGCACCCGTCAAGTAATCGCTCAGTCAAGTAATCGCTCAGAACGCTCCTTGGACAGGTGGAGCGCCCAACGAGGGTGCACAGGTGCTGCTGATGGGTGTAGAGCAAGGCCCGTGTGCAGACTCGGAGTGGGGTTATTACTGTGTTTCCCCTAAAATAAGACCTTCCCATAAAGCAAGCCCCAGCAGGATTTCTAAGCATGTGCACAGTAGAGGCCCTACCCCTAAAATCAGCCCTAGTGACGGGCATGGCTGCATCTGCACAACCCATGCGTGTCGTGGCGGAGCGGGAAAGAACACGAGCAGCCCTTCTCATCCGCCCCGTGAGGGCTCTAGTGCTCCACAGGAGAGATCGGGGCCGGTGGTTCTAAAGGAAATAGAGTCGCAAGACATTCAGGATGGGATTCGGGGTTTGGAGAGTGAGGATGATGTTCCAGAAGAAGACGACTTCACTCTGTTTGAATCAATGCAGATGGTTGTGCCGTACTTAAAAGAAATAACACATCCCCCGAAAATAAGCCCTAGGGTGTCTTCTGGAGGAAAAATAAAGATAAAACCCCGTCTCATTTTCAGGGAAACAGGGCAGGCATGAGCGGGGGGCGCTGCCCTGAGGAAGTGGGGTTTCCAGCTTTGCACCCCCATAACGTCTGCAAGGAGCAGGGATTTCCCGCAGGCCCAGCTGCAGGCCAACAACCCTGTTCCTGCAGGACGGAGGAAGCAGGCCTCTGCAGCCACAGAGCAATGCCCGGAAATCCAAGGAGTGCTCCCCCTTGGGGCGGCATCTATGCAGCCCGAGTCCGCCTAGGGGGCTGCGGACCGTGGAGGGGACCCAGCCTCCAGGAGCTGGAGGTCCTTGCGGGCTCGTCTCCGTCCTTCAGGCCCAGAGAGGAGGACCTCGGCCCGGGACGCCGCGCAGCCGACCGCAGCAGCGCCCCACCGGCCCCCAGCCTCGCGGGCCTGTCCTCCTCCCGCAGCCTCCATTCCCGCGGGTCCCTGGGGCCCCGCCCGGCGCAGCCTCTCGGTTCCGGGCAGCGAGCGCGCCCGCCCCTCCGGAGGAGACGAGGAAAACCCGCGGTGGAGTCCGCGGCGGCGGCGGGGCGGCGCGGCGCGGCGCGCGCGAGCAGCGCCGTGGCCGCCAGTTGGCCGGGCGCGCCGCGGGGCTCCACACCTGATGCAATCCGCCCGGAAGCGGCCCGGACGGAGCGCTCACCCAGGAAGCGCTTCCGCGCCCTCTTCCGGCCGCGGGCCCGCAAGCTGGGTCCGTCTCTCCTCCCCGCCCGGCCGGGCTCCGGGCGGGGGGCCGCGCTTTGGGTTCCGCCCGGAAGTGGGGCGGTTGCCCTCCAGAGCAGGGAAAATGCAGGAGGAAATTCCCTCAATTATCTCTGGCCGGAGGGGACAGACAGGGTCTGGAGGGAGTCTTTTCACCTTCCTTTGCTTCCTTCCCTCCTCAGCCTTGCAACGTGCGCTTTCTCTCCTTCCCACCGAGAGGGAATTTCTCATTTGTCTAAGTCATGCAATTTTGATATCTATTGTGAGTCGGTTTCTTCCTTCCTGCTGACTCACCACCCATGAATTGTTTTCCAAGGAAATAAGATATTCCAAGAATATTCCAAGAGCATGGTTTTTAAAAAAACACATGGAAGGAAACGCCGTGAACAATATATAAAAATTATCTCTTTATGTCTTTTAAAACCAAAGTGTGGGGAAGGAGACAGATCCAATGATTTTTATTTGGAAAGATACTTAAGAGACCATCAAATCTAGATCAACTCTTGTATTTCACAGATGACATTTTCCTCTGTGTGGCTCAGAAATATAAATGATTTTTTTCCCTTCCTTAAACAGACAAACCAGGGGCAGAACCGGTGCTTCAACTCAGATTTCTTAAAACTTCAATCTAAGGAAAAAACAAAATTAATGTATGCAAACACCTGTGGACGGAAAAAATCCAAACTCTGAAATATTTGAAAGAAGTTTATTCTGAGCCAAATTTGAGGACCATGACCCGGAGCCGCTCCCAAGAAGCCTTGAGCAAGTGGACTCGCTGTGGCAGGATCACAGTTTGGCTTTATACATTTCAGGGCGATAGGGGGTTACAGGTAAAGTCATAAATCAATACGTGGGAGGCATACATTGGCTTGGCCCAAAAAGGTGGGGCATCTGTAAGGTGGGCTTATAGGTTATAGGTGGGTTTAAAGATTCTTTGGCTTGAGTGGGATGAGGAAGGAGGCCGCGCTCGGAGGTGTCCACGGCCTGGACCTGGCAGGCAGGAGAGCAGCACTCCTCACCTGGGGAGTTGCTCAGCTCCTCCAAAGAACGGGCCGGGCGGTTTTGCCTAATTCCCTTGGCTGTCGTCACAGAAAAAAAAAATCAAAGGCATTGGAGTTGCCACAACCAAGATGGCCGGTAGAATACGTCGCCCGTTCAACGGCTTGGAAAAAAAAAAAAAAACTTTATATGTAGAGGTGAACTTTACAGGACCAGGCGTCTTCTAGAATCAAAGAGCCTATTCTTGAATCTCTCCCTCTGTCCTTCCACAAGCCTCAAAAGTCTTTCTTAACCAGAGAGCAAGGCAGCATCGAATAAGGGTTAAGAGTACAGATAAGAAAAGACCAGGGTTATAGTCCTTGCTCTTCCGCAGACTAGGCAAGAGCTCAAATAGAAAGTATAATTGTTTAGATTAGAAATAATGAGGACAGTGTTGGCCCACAATATGGAACTCAAAAAGTTATAGGCAATATTGTTAAGAAATGGTGAAGCCCTGTGTGCCTGAGTCCTGCTGCCAAAGCCAAAATTTAGACTCATGTTTAAGGAATGAAAAAATAGGCCGGTGGTGGTGGCTTACGCCTGTAATCCTAGCTCTCTGGAAGGCCGAGGCTGGCGGATAGTTTGAGCTCAGGAGTTCAAAGCCAGCCTAAGCAAGAGCAAGACCCCGTCTCTACTAAAAATAGAAAGAAATTAATTGGCCAACTAAAAATATATAGAAAAAATTAGCCAGAGATGGTGGCACATGCCTATAGTCCCAGCTACTAGGGAGGCTGAGGCAGGAGGATTGCTTGAGCCGGGGAGTTTGAGGTTGCTGTGAGCTATGCTGACACCACGCATGGTACTCTAGCCGGGACAACAAGAGTGAGACTCTGTCTCCAAAAAAAAAAAAAAAAAAAGATTCTTTGGCTTGTAATTGGTTAAAGACATGAAGCTTTGTCTAAAGGCTTGGAATGTTTCAACATAAGGAGCTGTTCTCAGAGACAAGCCAGGGGACATAGATTTATTGTGTAAATTGAGGACCTGCAGGTGTGTCTTGCATACCCTTAGGCCTGTTAATGGGTCACAAAGGATGTCCCTAAGAAGGGAGGGGAGCATGATGAGGCCTGTCTGACCTCCCTCCTTGAGGCAGACAATTTAGTTTTAGGATATTGCTTTGGCCTCAAGGAGGTCCATTCAGT